GGGGAATTCTGGGAGTTGAAGTCCACACATCTTCAAGCTGCCAAGGTTGAGGAACACTGGGGAATTCTGGGAGTTGAAGTCCACACATCTTCAAGCTGCCAAGGTTGAGGAACACTGTTGAATTCTGGGAGTTGAAGTCCACACATCTTCAAGCTGCCAAGGCTGAGGAACACTGCTCCAAACTGTGTAGTAAATAAATATTGGGATCTTTCCTTCCTCATACAATGTCAGGTTGGGTATCCTACAGGCTGTTCCCAACGCACTTTGATCACCTTTGCTGAAAACTATCCAGCCATTTTATATTAGGAAACAGATGAGAGTAATGCTCACGATAGTTATCACAAACAAATATATATATATATATATATACCTCACTCACTCCAGATCTGTAATGTGACCTTACTCACCCTGCAGTCCTTAACTCCCCACCCCTACACTGTGAAGTGTGGCACTTGGCTACAAAAAGTTGTCCACCCTGCGTTAAGCCATAAAGTCTGTATATATGGGAACATGAGAACCTAAGTAGCATCTGTTTTTTTTTGTTTCTGAAGCCAGTAAGCCTGCAACCCAGAGGTGCAGTGAGTTGAGTGGCTTTATACATTGAAATCAATAAAAAAAAACCATACACACTACTATAATGGTACGTATAGGAAAGACCTTGAGAAACAGGGCGAAGAGATGCTGCCAAGGGAATGGTTAGATAAGAGAGGGCATAGCTCACAGCTGCATAATGGGCAGAGAAAGAGGCTCAGAAGGGACCCTCCCCTGTTTCTCAGGCTATAAAGCAGACGGCGGGAGATTTGTGCTTTCAGACTTGCAAGAGTCTGTTAACGTAGCCTTACAATAAAGTAGAATTAGCTCATCTGGTTGTGTCTCCTGTCTGGTCTACCTGGGAAGGCTGACAGCTACAGACATCTTATTAGCTATGCCTGTTCCCACGTGGAGCCATTGATTGCAACAGGCATACTAATTACTAAGCCATCCTTACGGTTTGGCAAGGTGCACATGCAGAGTTATGATACACACACACACACACACACACACACACACACTTCCACAATCATGCCATTCCTTTTAAGGGTGAGTAACATATCATGTAAAGTGCAGAAAGGAGGAGTGGCAATCTAAACCAATTAAATAGGAAGTAAGAGAAAAGGAAGCCCAATTAAATCTAGTTTATTCGGATCCATTCACTGTGCCTCTCCATACCTTTCTGTCTTTGTATTCCACCACATCCATCCACCGCTTCAAACACACTCATTCTCTTGACCCACTTACTCCTTTCATGTATTTGTTGTGCAATGCGATATTTATTCGTTCTCACTTATATGACCAAGCCAATTTGGTCACTCCCTTCTGCATTCAATTTCATCCCTTCTTTTGCATCCAACCTCACATCAAAGATCCTTGACATCTCTTTTATCACAGGCTTCCTAACTACCCCATTCCCACGACATTCAACTGACTTCTATGTTTCGTCTGACAAAATTAATTCCATAAGAAAATAGGCACAATCATACTCTCACATCCAGCCCTCCTTTCAACATTCATTCCCCACAACAAACTGACCACATACTGCAGGTCTGAAAATGTTTCCATGTCCTCATCTTTAGCAAACATTCTACCAACAAGCTACACAAGGCCAATGACTCGCTCTAATTTTTGCTATTTATGTATAACTTCCCATCATTCGTTCCATTTTCCCTGCCAAACATACTACTGTCATTCACTGTCCTAAAGAAGATGATATTCCACATTTTCAAGAAATTTCATACTCCTAGGTTCTAAATTATTTCTGCAGAACAATGCAAACTCGAGAGATCTGAGGATGTGCCAGTATGATGTAGTGGTTAAAAATGAGGAAACTGTAAATTCTTACGCATGAAGCTAACTGGTTGACCTTGGGCCAGTCACTTTCTCGCACCCACAGGAAGCCAGCAATGGCAAACCACTTCTGAAAATGTTGCCAAGAAAAATGTTGCCAACTTCTAGGCAGTATTAAAGAAAATACTCCTACCAACAGGGCGACAGGGAGATATTTACCTGATCCGTGAGGTTGCTATGGAATTCAACTGCTTCCTTCAGGAGAGATAATCTTTCAGGGGCCTAGTGAAGAAAAAGAGACATGGATTACGGATACTTGAAGAGGTCTGCAAGACGCAGAACGCTCAGACCATACACACTGAAGAACACTCCAAGAACACATTAAAAGTCTTACTGCTAGCATATTCAGAGAACTCTGAACATTGATATGGGTATTCCCAAATTCGGGCTGCATGGGAAACAAACTGACATAGGCAATGGGAGACTTCCATTCTTGCCCCAAGACCAAGACTCTTTGAAGCCTGAGGTTCAGAAAAAATAGTGTACTCTTCCCATTCCACATACAGGAACTAATGGGATTGGCAGAAGAACCAAACTCCAGCCCATATGATTAATCTGGAAATGCATCTGAAGGCCATCAAAGATGCTGAGCAAACAATGCAGAACTGTCTTTCAACAGTTGGGGTACCATTCCTTGCCTGGAGTGGCCCCTCATTCTACTCAACGACATGAGGACAAAGTCTATATAACAGGAATGGTTTACATATTGAGGTTGTGGCTTTCCATCTCTGAAGGTTTTTAAAAAGAGGCTTGATTGCCACTTCTCAGAGATGGCTTAATCGGCTTCCAACACATGCACAGGGTTGGACTAGATCAGGGTTTTTCAACCTTGGCAACCTTAAGAGGAATGGACTTCAACTCCCAGAATTCCCTAGCCAGACATGCTGGCTGGGGAATTCTGGGAGTTGAAGTCTATGCCTCTCAAAGATGCCAAGGTTGAGAAACACTGGACTAGGTGATCCTTGTGGTTCTTCTAACACCACAATTTTATGATTCTAGGAATTGTCATTGGAAGCACAACCCACTTAATTCAATTACTATTATTCTCTTTTTTTGGAGGGACAATTGAATCCTAACCAAAAGAGCTGAGTGCAGAGCACAAGCGCACTCTCTCATCAAGCCTACTTCAAGATCTTGGAGGGATGTGATGAAGTGGATTGTCAACCAGCCTTTAAAAAAAAGACACAAAGGTGGAAAACTGAATACCTGGCACTTGTCATCAGCCATTCCCTGGGCAAAGGCCAGCACAGCCGAGGTAGCAGAGCGGATGATTTCTGTCCGGCCCTGACGGAAGCGACGAAGCGAGGCTGACTCTGCGGTGGGACACAACTTCCCATGTGCTCTAGGAGAGGCAAAAAGATCAGCCATAATACACACCCCGTGTGTGCCACCAGAGCCGGGCCTCCTACGTGGACAAAAGCAGATCCCCTTCGATTTTCTTTTGTTTTCACTAGCTTGGCCACCAACCTGCAGCTTTCTTTAGATTCTGGATGCCACCCTCTGCCTCCCCTTT